TAGCAGATCTTTAAAAATTAAGTATTTGGTTTTAACTACGTTATTACAATGAAAATATAAACCTTTGACCCCTAAACTTATTAAAATGTTTATTATTTAGTAATTATTATACTTTCATAATAGAGTCCATGAAATTATTAAGTCGATTACTTAATGGGATGAACTTTAAGCCTAAGACTTTCTGACACATTTAATATATAATATAATACCTATTTAATATTATATCAATTAAAATAATTATAATAAATAAAGCAATCTTAATTACCACTATTAAAAAAAATTATTATTACTCCAGTTTACTAATTAACGGAAAGCTATAAATAAAATAATAGCAAATTGAAAATGATGACCAATAAATTAAAAATATTTATAAGCAATAAGTAGGTTAAAATTACAATATAAATTGGACCATAAGTTTAAAGGTCTTGAAAATATACTAAAGTTATTTTTATCAAGATTATAATAATAAGAATCTTGCAGCTATTAATTTGCGGAAATGTTTTTAAATATTGATTTCTAATGATTGTATTAAAGAATTGTGATCGTATGATCGCGAAATTGTCAAATTCTCCGGCCAGATTTTAATTCAACTTAACTCAAAAACCTCAATTTTGAAAATATATTGTTTTGTGTAATAAAAAGATTTCCAAACACTAAAGTTTCCAGATATTGTGTTGAACCATTTTTTAATTTAAAAGTTTAAGTTAATGTTTTAAGAAATTCACTAATTATAATGTCAAAATATTTTCAAATCCGTATAATTACTCGAATTTTTGTTATTTGTGTATTATTAAAATAAAATTTCAGTTTTTTAAAAAAACTCTGTAATATACAAAGGAAATAATTAATTATTAAATGAGTGTTAAATTACTCAAATCCACTATGTGTTAAAAAGAGCTATAGCTACTCAAAATTACACACATTTCTTTGCTATATGGTATTAGTAATAGATACACTTTTATCCATTAGATAAAATTACTACCATTAGGTAGCGGAAGAAAAAAAGAAGAAAATTATTTACTAACACCAGGGATGGAAAATTTAATACTTAGTATTTCTTTCAGTATATTTTGATAACGAAAAATTGGCACTTTTCCCAACTTATAAACTATTGACAAGTAGTCTACATAATAGCCAATGAAACAGTCTGAAGTCTAGTCTATAGTTTAGTCCATAGTCTAGTCTAGTCTATATTATAATCTATAGTCTAGTCTATAATATAGTCTATAGTATAGTCTATAATATAGTCTACAGTCTACTCTACCGTCTAGTCAACAGTCTAGTCTACAGCCTAGTCTATAGTCTAGTCTATAGTCTAGTCTATAGTCTAGTCTATAGTCTAGTCTATAGTCTAGTCTATAGTCTAGTCTATAGTCTAGTCTAGTCTATAGTCTAGTCTATAGTCTATAGTCTAGTCTATAGTCTAGTCTATAGTCTAGTCTATAGTCTAGTCTATAGTTCCTAGTCTATAGTCTAGTCTAGATCTAGTCTATAGTCTAGTCTATAGTCTAGTCTATAGTCTAGTCTATAGTCTAGTCTATAGTCTAGTCTATATCTAGTCTATAGTCTAGTCTATAGTCTAGTCTATAGTCTAGTCTATAGTCTAGTCTATAGTCTAGTCTATAGTCTAGTCTATAGTCTAGTCTAAGTCTAGTCTATAGTCTAGTCTATAGTCTAGTCTATAGTCTCGTCTATAGTCTAGTCTATGTCTAGTCTATAGTCTAGTCTATAGTCTAGTCTATAGTCTAGTCTATAGTCCTAGTCTATAGTCTAGTCTATAGGTCTAGTCTATAGTCTAGTCTATAGTCCTAGTCTATAGTCTAGTCTATAGTCTAGTCTATAGTCTAGTCTATAGTCTAGTCTATAGTCCAGTCTATAGTCTAGTCTATAGTCCAGTCTATAGTCTAGTCTATAGTCCAGTCTATAGTCTAGTCTATAGTCTAGTCTATAGTCCAGTCTATAGTCTAGTCTATAGTCTAGTCTATAGTCTAGTCTATAGTCTAGTCTATAGTCTAGTCTATAGTCTAGTCTATAGTCTAGTCTATAGTCTAGTCTATAGTCTAGTCTATAGTCTAGTCTATAGTCTAGTCTATAGTCTAGTCTATAGTCTAGTCTATAGTCTAGTCTATAGTCTAGTCTATAGTCTAGTCTATAGTCTAGTCTATAGTCTAGTCTATAGTCTAGTCTATAGTCTAGTCTATAGTCTAGTCTATAGTCTAGTCTATAGTCTAGTCTATAGTCTAGTCTATAGTCTAGTCTATAGTCTAGTCTATAGTCTAGTCTATAGTCTAGTCTATAGTCTAGTCTATAGTCTAGTCTATAGTCTAGTCTATAGTCTAGTCTATAGTCTAGTCTATAGTCTAGTCTATAGTCTAGTCTATAGTCTAGTCTATAGTCTAGTCTATAGTCTAGTCTATAGTCTAGTCTATAGTCTAGTCTATAGTCTAGTCTATAGTCTAGTCTATAGTCTAGTCTATAGTCTAGTCTATAGTCTAGTCTATAGTCTAGTCTATAGTCTAGTCTATAGTCTAGTCTATAGTCTAGTCTATAGTCTAGTCTATAGTCTAGTCTATAGTCTAGTCTATAGTCTAGTCTATAGTCTAGTCTATAGTCTAGTCTATAGTCCAGTCTATAGTCTAGTCTATAGTCCAGTCTATAGTCTAGTCTATAGTCCAGTCTATAGTCTAGTCTATAGTCTAGTCTATAGTCTAGTCTATAGTCTAGTCTATAGTCTAGTCTATAGTCTAGTCTATAGTCTAGTCTATAGTCTAGTCTATAGTCTAGTCTATAGTCTAGTCTATAGTCTAGTCTATAGTCTAGTCTATAGTCTAGTCTATAGTCTAGTCTATAGTCTAGTCTATAGTCTAGTCTATAGTCTATCTATAGTCTAGTCTATAGTCTAGTCTATAGTCTAGTCTATAGTCTAGTCTATAGTCTAGTCTATAGTCTAGTCTATAGTCTAGTCTATAGTCTAGTCTATAGTCTAGTCTATAGTCTAGTCTATAGTCTAGTCTATAGTCTAGTCTATAGTCTAGTCTATAGTCTAGTCTATAGTCTAGTCTATAGTCTAGTCTATAGTCTAGTCTATAGTCTAGTCTATAGTCTAGTCTATAGTCTAGTCTATAGTCTAGTCTATAGTCTAGTCTATAGTCTAGTCTATAGTCTAGTCTATAGTCTAGTCTATAGTCTAGTCTATAGTCTAGTCTATAGTCTAGTCTATAGTCTAGTCTATAGTCTAGTCTATAGTCTAGTCTATAGTCTAGTCATAGTCTAGTCTATAGTCTAGTCTATAGTCTAGTCTATAGTCTAGTCTATAGTCTAGTCTATAGTCTAGTCTATAGTCTAGTCTATAGTCTAGTCTATAGTCTAGTCTATAGTCTAGTCTATAGTCTAGTCTATAGTCTAGTCTATAGTCTAGTCTATAGTCTAGTCTATAGTCTAGTCTATAGTCTAGTCTATCGTCTAGTCTATTTGCTAGTCTATCGTCTAGTCTATCGTCTAGTCTATAGTCTAGTCTATAGTCTAGTCTATAGTCTAGTCTATATTCTAGTCTATAGTCTAGTCTATAGTATAGGCTATAGTCTAGTCTATAGCCTAGTCTATAGCCTAGTCTATAATCTAGTATATTCCAAAGTCCAGCCTATTGTCTACTCTATAGTCTAGTATATAGTCTAATATGTAGTATAGACTATAGACTAGAATATAGACTATACTAGTCTATAGTCTATTCTATAGTCCAATGTATAATCTATTGTATGCTGTAGTATATAGTCGAGTCTATAGTCTAGTATATTCCAAAGTCTAGCCTATTGTCTACTCTATAGTCTGATCTGTAGTATAGACTATAGACTAGTATATAGACTACACTAGTCTATAGACATATCTATAATCTAGTCTATAGTCCAATCTATAATCTATTCTATGCTGTTGTCTATAGTCCAGTCTTATGTCTTGTCTATAGTCCAGTATGACCTAGTCTATAATCTATTTTATAGTCTAGTGTTTGCTCTCGTTTATAGTGTAGTCTATATTCCAATATTTAGACTAGTCTATAATCTTGTCTATAATCCTATTTGTAGTCTAGTCTACAGTCTATAGCAAAATCTGTATATTAGTCTAGTCTATAGTGTGGTCTAGTCTTTAGTTTAATCTATAGACCAGTCTATAGTCTAGTATATAGTTTAGTCTATAGTTTAGTATATAGTTTTGTATAAATACTATTTTATAGTCTTGTTATAGTCAATTCTAGTATGTAGTTTCGTTATTTCAATTATCCATGCCTGACTAACACCAACCAAAAAACGTGTCAGAGCAACAGGGTCAGTGAGATAGACCTGAGTAGATACCTGCTTACAAACATATTTATTTATTTTTTTCATTACAATGGTTCATATACTAATCTTATTCATTAAATGAACGTACATATGTGTTAAAGAAAGTTACTTTTTTTTTTGAAAACATTAACGTATAGTTAAAGTAATAAATATTACATAAAATTGTATTTCATGATTTCAAGCGTCCATAATAGTTTTTTTATTACAAATAACATTCATTCACTAGTTTCTTATAATTTAGCATAAAAAAACATATTTTTGTTACAAAAATCACAATGCCAGTTAAGTGTTTAAAGAAAATATTTAACCAAAGCCCCACTCTGACTATTAGGGGGCCAGTGTTGTGAGAGATTGCTGCAATATGCTCAAAAAACAACACTTTGTTATTTATTAAATTTTATTACATTACACTCTAAATTACACTATAGCTGACTGAGTGCGTGCTCAGTTCATTGGTAGTTTAACACATTTTGTTGCTGCTTTTTTTTTACTAGTATTCACAAACAAAAAACCATTTACAATTTATTTGTTAATAAAAAAAAAAAATTACAAAAGAAAAAAAGTTGTTTTGCGGAAGTTTCGTAAACAAATTTTGGATTTTTTAAAATAAAGCTAGTTTTTCAATTATACGAAATGTATGATCACTGTTGTTGCACTAAAACTTACCACTCTTTTTTGGAAAAGTTGTATTAATTTATTTTAACTACTAGTAGTTGCAGTAAAATTACTTCTAATACGATTAACAATATTAAGTTTTTGTTTAAATTCGAAAATAACTTTAGTTCGTAGTTTAAAAACACTTGATCAAGAAATTATTAAACTATTCAAGTCAAGTTGATCACACGTTGTAACAAAACGAAATCTTCGTTAGATTTTTATATATCTAGCACTATATGAATGAATGACCCGTATGCGAACGAACTAATACCATTTAAGGTGAAGAGGTAACTGACGTTCTACTCCGTTAAGCCGTCACTGATGTAGACTTGGTAAAATAACTAAATTTACAAAAATAATAAAGTCGTATTTTAGAGTCGTCGTTTGATTATTGTTGTTTTCGTGTATTTTCTGTTAAACCAACATTACCACTCAAAATAAGCGTGATTTTGAGTGTTTTAGTTTATTCAACAACTACAACAAATGTTGCTCTCAGAGTTGCCATTATATCTATGAGTTTTATCCTGTCTTGGTTTGAAAGTTTGAAAATTCTTTTGAAATTCTAAGGCATTAAGATCTTGAGGATCTTATTATGATGATATTTTCTACAAGATTCTCGGTTGATAAATAATTTGGTTACTAGTAAAACTTTTTTTAATAATGAGGAATATTATTCACCCCTATTCTTAATTTCAATTCGAGTCGAAATAATCTCCGTTTGTCATTTTTGTTTGTTCTGCATGTCGATTTGACTCTTCGTCACTAAAAAAATAACTTACGTAGCTACGATCGTAATGCTAAATGCATGCAATCGTAAAGCATTAGAAATGGAATTGCATCTTCTTTTTCTTCTGTTCCGTTTTTGTTGGAATATCGTTTTTCGTCAGTTGCATAAATCGGAGTCATAGATCGCTACTTACTTTACTTACTTACTTACTTACTTACTTACTACGTACTTACTTACTTACTTACTTACTTACTTACTTACTTACTTACTTACTTACTTACTTACTTACTTACTTACTTACTTACTTACTTACTTACTTACTTACTTACTACTTACTTACTTACTTACTTACTTACTTACTTACTTACTTACTTACTGACTTACTTACTTACTTACTTACTTACTTACTTACGTACTTACTTACTTACTTACTTACTTACTTACTTACTTACTTACTTACTTACTTACTTACTTACTTACTTACTTACTTACTTACTACTTACTTACTTACTTACTTACTTACTTACTTACTTACTTACTTACTTACTTACTTACTACTTACTTACTTACTTACTTCTTACTTACTACTTACTTACTTACTTACTTATTACTTACTTACTTACTACTTACTTACTTACGTACTTACTTACTTACTACTTACTTACTTACTTACTTACTTACTTACTTACTTACTTACTTACTTACTTACTTACTTACTTACTTACTTACTTACTTACTTACTTACTTACTTTACTTACTACTTACTTACTTACTTACTTACTTACTTACTTACTTACTTACTTACTTACTTACTTACTTACTTACTTACTTACTTACTTACTTACTTACTTACTTACTTACTTACTTACTTACTTACTTACTTACTTACTTACTTACTTACTTTACTTACTTACTATTACTTACTTACTTCTTACTTACTTACTTACTTACTTACTTACTTACTTACTTACTTACTTACTTACTACTTACTTACTTACTTACTTACTTACTTACTTACTTACTTACTTACTTACTTACTTACTTACTTACTTACTTACTTACTTACTTACTTACTTACTTACTTACTTACTTACTTACTACTTACTTACTTACTTACTTACTTACTTACTTACTTACTTACTTACTTACTTACTTACTTACTTCCTTACTTACTTACTTACTTACTTACTTACTTACTTACTTACTTACTTACTTACTTACTTACTGACTTACTTACTTATTACTTACTACTTATCTTACTTTACTTACGTACTTACTTACTTACTTACGTACTTACTTACTTACTTTACTTACTGACTTACTTACTTACTTACTACTTACTGGGAATAATTCCTATACAAATGTGTTCCCCTAAAACGTATTGGAAATGGCAAACTCTTACTTTTTGTTTACACCAACAATTGAGTTTTCACCTCACTTGAAAACCTTGGCTTGGATAAACAAGTCGCTCTTTTATCGTATGTACGACTTGAAGTACTCTTAATTGTAATTAAATTATCTCTTAATATTTTAATTCATAACATTTTAATCAAGTTGTCTATTATTCGTTTACACATTTAAATATGATATTCTTAACTTCAATGATTAAAAATGTGCATATATATTTATTATTTGCCAGAGTCTGCTTAAATAATTGGGTTAAGTTCGTTTCGATCGTTCTTTTATTTATAAAAACAAGAAGCAACAATTTCTTTTTGTCATTGGTTTTCTTTTCATCGAATGTCGAAATGTATTTTTGCGAAGGCCATCAACTACTAGGTAGTAGAATACAACACAACACCTTTGTCTTGTTAAGTTGCATAAATTAATTACTATATACCAAATTTTAATCAGAGTTTAAAAATACGATAAATTTGGTTCAGTGAATTGAAAAACAAGAAAGAACTTTGTCTCTAGCGGGACAGCCAAAGTTTTATTTTGAATTATTTTCATATATTTTTTTATTATTTAAGGTGTCGTAGATTGTATAGGTTAATCATCAAATGTGTATACAAAATTGTACTTGTTTGAAACTTTAGGTTTTTGAGAAAATTTCCAAATTGTAAACCTATTCTTTCGAAACAAGTATTTGAAATTAATTTGAAATGTTACTCAATGTATTAAGTCATTGACCTTTGATCTAAGAATGCTAACAATGTTGAATAACATACCACCTGTCACGAAATTCAATTCCGATCTAAAGTGAGAAATTATTTCCATTTTAGCTTATTCAGAAATAATAAAACGAACATATTTCGGAATGAAACCTCTTACAGTTTTTAAAGTGAAAATGAATTTCTTTTTAGTTTTAATTAAATCATTTACAAAATTGTAATTTTATTTAAATGAGCAATATAAGGTAAATCCAAATCGAAGCTAAATCAAACTGAATAGCCATAATAATTACAGAATTGAAACATTTGCATTCGGAATGTATGGCGGATACGTTCGTTTTGATAATAGAAGAAGTTTAATTAAAATATTATGAAATTTATTAAATTTAAAAAATTAATTTCAATCAGTTTTACATTCTAAGTAAAAAATTAAAGTGATTTCTATTTCAAAATCCTCATTTAACTTTCGAATGAAGAAAATTGATATGTATGTGTCGGGTTCGGAATGGTTTCCAGTTTGTACGATCGATTTTTAATAAATTTTAATGCCTAAGTCACAGAACTTCGATACGATCGAAAGAAATCTTATCTAAACTCTTGAGTTCTAGTTCAGTTTTAGTTCAGTTCTAGTTCAGTTCTAGTTCAGTTCTAGTTCAGTTTAGTTCAGTTCTAGTTCAGTTCTAGTTCAGTTCTAGTTCAGTTCTAGTTCAGTTCTAGTTCAGTTCTAGTTCAGTTCTAGTTCAGTTCTAGTTCAGTTCTAGTTCAGTTCTAGTTCAGTTCTAGTTCAGTTCTAGTTCAGTTCTAGTTCAGTTCTAGTTCAGTTCTAGTTCAGTTCTAGTTCAGTTCTAGTTCAGTTCTAGTTCAGTTCTAGTTCAGTTCTAGTTCGTCTAGTTCAGTTCTAGTTCAGTTTCTAGTTCAGTTTCTAGTTCAGTTCCTAGTTCAGTTTTCTCTAGTTCAGTTCTAGTTCAGTTCTAGTTCAGTTCTAGTTCAGTTCTAGTTCAGTTCTAGTTCAGTTCTAGTTCAGTTCTAGTTCAGTTCTAGTTCAGTTCTAGTTCAGTTCTAGTTCAGTTCTAGTTCAGTTCTAGTTCAGTTCTAGTTCAGTTCTAGTTCAGTTCTAGTTCAGTTCTAGTTCAGTTCTAGTTCAGTTCTAGTTCAGTTCTAGTTCAGTTCTAGTTTAGTTCTAGTTCAGTTCTAGTTCAGTTCTAGTTCAGTTCTAGTTCAGTTCTAGTTCAGTTCTAGTTTAGTTCTAGTTCAGTTCTAGTTCAGTTCTAGTTTAGTTCTAGTTCAGTTCTAGTTCAGTTCTAGTTCAGTTCTAGTTCAGTTCTAGTTCAGTTCTAGTTCAGTTTTAGTTCAGTTTTAGTTCAGTTTTAGTTCAGTTCTAGTTCAGTTCTAGTTCAGTTCTAGTTCAGTTCTAGTTCAGTTCTAGTTCAGTTCTAGTTCAGTTCTAGTTCAGTTCTGGTTCAGTTCTAGTTCAGTTCTAGTTCAGTTCTAGTTCAGTTCTAGTTCAGTTCTAGTTCAGTTCTAGTTCAGTTCTAGTTCAGTTCTAGTTCAGTTCTAGTTCAGTTCTAGTGCAGTTCTAGTTCAGTTCTAGTTCAGTTCTAGTTCAGTTCTAGTTCAGTTCTAGTTCAGTTCTAGTTCAGTTCTAGTTCAGTTCTAGTTCAGTTCTAGTTCAGTTCTAGTTCAGTTCTAGTTCAGTTCAAGTTCAGTTCTAGTTCAGTTCTAGTTCAGTTCTAGTTCAGTTTTAGTACAGTTCTAGTTCAGTTCTAGTTCAGTTCTAGTTCAGTTCTAGTTCAGTTCTAGTTCAGTTCTAGTTCAGTTCTAGTTCAGTTCTAGTTCAGTTCTAGTTCAGTTTCTAGTTCAGTTCTAGTTCAGTTCTAGTTCAGTTCTAGTTCAGTTCTAGTTCAGTTCTAGTTCAGTTCTAGTTCAGTTCTAGTTCAGTTCTAGTTCAGTTCTAGTTCAGTTCTAGTTCAGTTCTAGTTCAGTTCTAGTTCAGTTCTAGTTCAGTTCTAGTTCAGTTCTAGTTCAGTTCTAGTTCAGTTCTAGTTCAGTTTCTAGTTCAGTTCTAGTTCAGTTCTAGTTCAGTTCTAGTTCAGTTCTAGTTCAGTTCTAGTTCAGTTCTAGTTCAGTTCTAGTTCAGTTCTAGTTCAGTTCTAGTTCAGTTCTAGTTCAGTTCTAGTTCAGTTCTAGTTCAGTTCTAGTTCAGTTCTAGTTCAGTTCTAGTTCGGTTCTAGTTCAGTTCAGTTCTAGTCTAGTGAGATATTAGTACATACATACATTTAAAGAAAATATGTGCCCCATACATTTGGAAGTCCGGTTGTATGGACCAAGATAGAACAAAATCAATATCATCGGAATTTTTTACAAACTCTCAGGAATAATGACAATACAAATACAACTCAAAAAACCAAAAAAATAAAAGCAAATATATTCAAAGTAGAGAATTAATATTTTTAATTTTAAAACAGAAAAGTTGAAAATCATTT